CTTTATCCAGTCTCCAACTGATGGGCAAATAGGCTGTTTCCAAGTTTTAGCTATTACAAACTGTGCCACTATAAACATTGGCATGTATATACCGCTATGGTATAATGCTTTTAATTCTTTCAGGAAGATAACAAGAAGGAGAATAGCTGGGTAAAATAGAGCCTCTAGTTTTAGTTTTTTGAGGTCTCTCCATATTGATTTCTACAGTAGTGGCACCAATCTACACTTCCACCAACAGTGGAGAAGGGTTACTTTTTCTCCACAGCTCTGCCAGCATTTGTTATCGGTTGATTTCTTGCCATTCTTTCTGGAGTGAGAAGGAACGCCAGCATTGTGTTAATTTGCATCTCTTGGATGACCAGTAATGTTGAACATTTTTTCATGTATTTATTTGCCATTTCTAATTCATCTGAGAAGTGTCTATTTATTTCAGATGCCCATTTTTGGATTAGGTCTTTAAATTTGGGGGTTCTGATTTTTTTTAGTTCTTTATATATTCCACATAGTAGTATTTTATCTGAGAAACAGCTGGCAAAATTTTTCCCACATTATGGGTTGTCTCTTCACTCTGTTGGTAGTTTCTCTGCTGTGCAAAGTTTTTTTGTTTTTCTTTTTTGGACCGGGGATCAAACTTGGGACCTTGTGTTTGCGAGGCAGGCGGCCATTGAGCTAAATCCCCAACCCACAAAAGGTTTTTAAAATGAGATTCCAGTTGTTGATTCTTTGTGATAGTTCCTGTGTGACCAGGGTTTTGTTCCTAAAGTCTCCTAAAGCCTACACCAGTGTCTTTGAGAGTTCTACCTATTCTAACTTCCAGCAGATTTAGTATATTTTAATATTTAGGTATTTGATTGATTTTGAGTTTAGTATATGGTGAAAGATATGGGTCTAGTTTTAATCTTTGGCAAATGGAAACCCAGTTTTTCCAGCACTATTAAAGAGGCTATCTTTCTTCCAGTGAAGGTATTTGGCTCCTTTGTCAAACAAAGTGGGTGAGGCCAGGGATTTAGCTCAGTGGTTCCACTGCCTGCTTCGCAAGCATAAGGTCCCGAGTTCAATCCTGGGTACCAAAACAAAAACAACAACAAAAAAGTATAAGGTGGCTGAGTATGTTTGGAGCAGTTTCTGCATCTTCTAACCAGTTCCAGTGATCCTTGTTTTTTTTTTCCAAGTACCATGCTGTTTTTATTATAGTAGCTTTATAGTATAATTTCAAGTCAGAGATTGTGATGCCCTCTGCCTTGCCTTTGTTGCCCAGAATTGCCTTTGCTATTCTGCAGTTTTTCTGGTTCTAAATGAATTGTTCTGCAGTTTTTAATCTACTATTAAGCATTTCCAAAGAATTTTAAAGGTTCCAATTAGGGTTGGGTTTTTTAATATATTCCATTTTCTCTTCATTATGCTTATACTGTGCTTTGAATCCTTGAACATATTTATAGTAAGTCTAAAATTTCTGATACAGTAATGTCATATTACACCATTTCTATTTTTTCTATCAGTTCACTCTTCTTTTGAAAAGTCATATCACATTTTTCTTTTTCCATGTCAAGCAATTTATGAGACACTGAACAATGTAAAAATTACATTATTCAGCAGCTGTATTTTGTTGTCTCCTTTTACACAATACTCAATCTCCCCCCACCTCAACTTAACATGCATATCCATTTGAACCTTTTGAGACTTAGGAAAGCTTTGCTAGAAGGGGCCTAGAGGAGCTTAAAATGCATGCTTGTTTTAGTCCTACAAGTAAAGTCCTGGGAGCCTCCAGGGCTTTCTCCACTCAGGCTAGTAAGAACTCAAATGTCTTCTGGCCTGTGTAAACTTAATCGTTAACCTTGTAGCTTCCACAGGTTTCTTCATCTAGACTTGTGGATTCTGATCCTACATTCTCAGTTTAGTATGCAGCAAGTGAAACTCTTCAAGACTGCTTGAGCCCCACCACCACCACCATAGCTCTCTTCTTGCTGACACTATCCTGCAAATTTCATATACTTCAAATTTCTGTACTCTCAACTCGGGATCCGCTTTACTCACTTGGCTTTTCCTTCCCTGTGCTGAGGTCCAGAAGGTGCCTCAAGGTAATAAATTGAGGAAATTATAAGACATTTTTAATATATAGTGCTGTTTTTCCTGTCAGGGAGCATAACCCCAATCTACTTATGGTCCAGTATTTGAAACTACAAAAATGTCTGGCTTCTCTCGTATTTTGTTCTTCAAATTATCTCAGATTCTGGTCAGGAAATTCCCCTTCTATGTGGCTTCTATGTATTCTAATATGTCCTATGATTTTTTAAAGAGTTTACATATTTTGTTATTCCAAGTCTACTTATATTTTCCTCTTCCCAAATCTGGGATCAGAATTTTCTCCAAGGAGATCTGAAATATTTCAGTAAAGAATGATATTTATGGGCCGGGGATTTAGCTCAGCAGTTCGGTGGCCTGCCTTGCAAGCACAAGGACCCGAGTTCAATCCCCGGTACCAAAAAAAAAAAAAA